GTATGTATTTTGAGGTTGAATCAGTCAAAGACCGTTCACGACCTTTTTCTTACTGACGATGGAAATTGCAATATGAGTGAACATAAACACTCTCTATGAGATTATGAAATGAAATATTTCAATATTGGTTAAGATGTTTTGTGCATTTTGACGAAATAGTTAAAAAAACGATCTGTTCATTCAGATGTTACCAGTATGGCTAAAACAACAATTAAAAGATTGTGCAAGGTCAAGCTTGAAAAAAAAAATGCAAAAAACTACAACAAAAAGGTTCCTAACCATTTCCCTCTATTATGGTGACAACGGTTATTTACCCATGGACTACTTGGACTTTAATCCAATKATTGCTGTTGCCTCCCATGTTTCTGTACAACTGAGGAGGACCAAGGTTATTGCAAACAACAATATCCTCGTCTCCATCATCTGAAAAACAAAAGCAAACGATAGATGAGGAAAAAATTTAACATGGTGTGTATGCTATTATGTTCCAGTCACTTCTCTATCAAAGAACTGAATGCTGTAGATTTTTCTATATAATACACTTGGGTCTTACCATCATAATCAAGTTTCAGCAAACCTCTACCTTGACCAGTAGCATTCATACCAACGGCATTTGAAACCTAAAATTCGGAATTCAAACATTAATGTACAAGTTCTATTGCACAATCACCTCATCGTAAGCTTACCATGATTCGCGTAATTTAGGGGGCTTTCTACCGCTGATGTAGAAAGGTTTAAAAGTTGAAAGTGAAAGTATCTAATTACCACCTTGGAAAAATCTTGAATTGGTCTTTTCAGTATATTCACGGTCAAAAGAAGCAGATCCTGGATTTTCCYCAGGGAGGGGTGCGGGGCTCTCACAAAAAGCATAACCATGAAGATAGAAAATAAGGAAAATATTGAATGACTACATCATGCGCATCCCCTGTACCTAACATGCGGATACGCCCCTGGTCCAATGTAAGAATCTATGGATCTATTGCAATAAGAAATTAATTATGGAGTATTGCACGGCTTTAAAAATCCTATTAAATGTTTGTTTTCAAAACAATCAGCGAAAGTAATTTTTGGCACCTTCGCCGTGTGCCCTTGCCTCATTATAACTTCTTCATAATTCAAGATGGCAACCACATTAGTAATACGACCTGTTCTTCACTARGCAGCGAGCTAAGTTTGAGTAATATTATTTTTGATTTACTGATAATATAACGTAGCCTATTGTATTTTTATACGATAACGGCTGTCTTATAAGTAGATATATATGTAAACATTCACCTCTTTCGTCGTCCCATTATACCCAGGCCCCATATTTTGCCACAATATCATCTGTTGYTTCATAAAATGGTCATCGGTCGTTGTTGATGGAAAGTCTATCCCTGTGAATGTTAATCTAATGTTATTTAGAACTGTTCATATCAGGGGCCGGTTTTACGTTTGTTAGTCATAAGACACTTCAGTAATATACTCGGGTAATTACGAGAAATATTATTTACAGTCGATATTTTAATTTTAATTTCACTACCCAAAATGCATTGCCGAATCCAGTTCGCAAGGGCAGGTTGTAAAAAGTATGAATCGTAGTAACAAACTTTTTAATGTGATCATCCGATGGCATGGGTGAAGTACTCAGAAGGACTGGTTGATGCGACTGTGACGTTTCGACAACCAGAATAGTGCTATTTCAGATCCTTCGCTRCATGTTAGATATACCCCTACCGTTTGTCAAAACCAAATCAAGATAGGCATCATTATTGAAGTCAATGAAAGCAGCACCCCAACCCCAACCTCCATTACGGACTCCAGCCTACAAAGAAAATTCTGCACGTAAGTAAGATATATACTAAATCATGATGAACAGCGCTAATATCATTCTGAAATATTTTGCAAATACTTATTCAATAACATTTTAATCTTTTCGTATTGCGGAAAGCCTGGCACACTAGAAATGCTGCGACTGCAAGACCAACGACATTCAACATTGTTGGGGACCAATAAATWGAATAGCAATGTTCAGCGGTACCATTAAAGTTGGCTGTATTTGAGACATTTTTTTTCGCGATGTGCTTCTTCAATTCCTGATGCTTGCTACAGAACGATTTTTCAAGCAAAACTCGTTTTAAATTTTAATTGAAAGCTTTCAACGTATTACCAAACAAAGTATTAGCTARAAATAGAATTGTGTATCAAGGATTAAAAATTGAAGAATCGTATCACGTAAAAAACGTCGCTAAATTAAAGATTGTCTCATGTAAAATCAGCTTAAAACAACGAGGATGTCTGTCAAGCCACAGGCTCACCGGCTGTGGAAAAACATGCGCCTATTTTCAAACTATTAAAATAGGTGCAGCGGGTGCACAAGCGATCTGGTGATGACAAGGAAGCCTTGTATATTTCATGAATTCAACAATAGYCAAGTGCCTTCTTGAAAGGTAGCCGTGCCTTTGCATCGAAGCAAGACGACCGTTTGAGAGTACAGTGAAAGTAACCTTCTTTTACACAGWCACTTATCCACAGGTTTCTCTCATTGTACGCTCAACGTTCGTATCTCGCTTCGTTGCAAAGGCACRGCTGCCTTTTAAAGTGCTACTTGCATATGAAAATACACTTATTTCAAAACTTCAAGCAATACAAATATATGACTCATTTATATCTATTAAAAACATTTGCGGGAAAATATTTTGTTTTGGAATTATCGCATATCAGAGAAATTTTGATTCAAAAGATGGAAGAACAGAAGAATGGAGTAAATGACGTTTACTCCAACTTTTTTTTCCCTAAATTATTAAGGATTTTTATCAATATCTTCTTGAAATCTGTTGCTTCATTATTATTAGAACCATATTAATAGGTCTATTRATTTCCAAGTCTTTTCTAATGTTTCGCAATTTTCGTCCAAGTAACATGAACGATACTATTTGGTCATTCATATCTTCATACACACTGGAAAAAAATCGCGCGCTTTAAAGGTTGTAATAATTTGATGTAAATATGATGTAAGTGTCCAAAATTCTGTAAATTTGATGTTAATGATTTCCATTAAATTTACAGAATTTTGGACACTTACAT